AATGAGATTTATTAAAATTTTATCTTTGGAATCACTGGGAAACTGGCTGTAGTATAAGTCAAAACTAATTTTATCGCATTTTAAAATCATTATAAATATTTCAAATTTAGGTCAAGATGTTTTCCATATTCGACCCACTGCTGTTGATGGTGATGTCTGATGCTGCCTTGAACAGAACCACATTGAAGGAAGATCAATAAGAAAGTTTGGTTTGTTATTGATAGTCGTTCCTCTAACTCAACTTGAACGTTCGTTCAAAAATGAGTACTTTAATGAATCTCAATGAGAAAGGTCATCATTCAGTCAATTGAATTTATTATTATGTTAAACATTAGCGGGAAAACGTATTGAAGTAACAATCACTTTATCGTTTTATGGAAGCGTCTGCAGTCAAATTGGCTGAAAGAATTCCTTTTTTAATGAGTTTCATTAAAGTATTCCTTTAAGACGGAGCGTCATGCATACCACCCTATAAAGCTTTCAATAATACTCGAGAAATGAATGTATTTATATGTAATGAATCAATCAATTTTCCTGTTAGAAAGTCCAATAGATTAAAAAAGCTTTACAAGGTTAATCTTTCACTCCAAGAATCGACTCGAAGCTCCTTTTTAGCTGAGGAACTGTCATTGTAAAGAAATTAATCCGGTCTATTCATTTGGAATTACTCAGCGGTAAGATTGATTTCCGTTAGTGCAATAATGGTTTTTACCTGAAGAGACCGCTATAGTCACCCGAGCGGATCTGTCACCAAGGTTCACTAACGAAATGTCATCTAAGATTTGTAAACAGCTCTAAAACCTCAATCCTAATCCTAACTTATTGCATATTCGAGGTTAATCGAAATGGATAGAATGAAAAATTATTACAATACCAATCCCAGTTATGTATATTATTTAACAAAATGCATTTAAATAATAAACTTTAAAAATAACAGGACTCGAAATAAGATGGCTTTGAAAAAATGGGCAGATAAATGATTAACCCTCCCTACATCTTAGAACTCCTTACTTCACGCTCCTCTATCCACTCTCTCAATACCAGATCTCAACCTATAGATCTATATATCCCCTCGCATAAAACCACTTCCTTCAGTAAATCCTTCGTCATTCGTGCAACCTCCTTCTGGAACTCCTTGCCCATCTCCATACGTCAAACCACGTCCATAAACTCCTTGAAACAACTCCTATTCCACCATCTACTACAAATTCAAACTTCCGTAAAATTGTAAAAAATTCTGGGTTATATAAATACGTTGGCCACCAGCAGCTAATTGATAGAAGTCATTTTACTTTTATTAATTAATTTTTTTATATATGTGTATATCGTTAGTATGTTTTGTAGATATTTATATTTTCCTTGGTACTTTTATTTTTTCTATATATATATTTGGATTTTTCTTAGTATCTTTGTGTGTATATATATATATATAAATATATATATATATATATATATGCTTACAATTTCTTAGGTATTTGTTGTATGTATGTGTACAATACTTACATGCCAGACTGAAGTACATATTTTGTAAACTCTACTATTATTCTAAGGGGACTTCAGTCCCAGAATAAAATTATTTTTCATTTCATTTCATACATCACAATATAATGTAGAAAGTAAAGAAAAATTCTATAATGGGATGAAACAACGAAACGCTGATTGTATATGAATTATGAAGATTTAATATTTTCACATCTAATTTGAATATTCCAAGAATTTTACTAAAAATAGTAAATTTTAATCAGAAATATGTATAAACGTTGCTTTCCAATCGAACGATTCTCCAAATGTCTGGAGACCAACTTACATAGATGTGTGATTGGAGGGCTACCAATAAATTAAAAAAATAAATATTTTTTTTCCTAAGAAACATTTGCATCTTTTACAGTTTCCTAGTTAGATATTTAGTGCTAAAATCTACAAAACTGTAAACAATCTGCTTTCAGTAGCACCATATGTAGAGCTCATTTTTATCTTGCGTGAAGTTGCCCCTCAGAAATAATTAAAATCACGAGGAAAGGGAAGTCTGGACCGATTAACTTAACAAGAAAGGAGAAAATTGCTGTAATTTATTTATTTATTTTTTTAATATGAGAAATGAAGAAAAAATATTTTTATCTGATTCGAAATATTTTTTGTTCCTTGATACACTCTTCATGATTCTGAAATATCCTCTACTTAAATGCCAACTTATGTCAAAATCGATTCCGTAGTTTAGAACAGCAAAAATATATATTTCAATATAATCTGTGTCTTTAAAATCCACTATAGTCATGAATTCAAAAGTATTGTTTTATTATCAACAATTACTCAAAGAGGTTGTGTTCAGAATCAAAGTTCAAACATCATATACCTCGCCCTCCCCCTCCCAAAAAAACTAAGGTTTGTGGTTTAGACTACACGATAGAAATGAAAACATCAACAAAGCGAGATTGATAAATAATAGTTCATTATAAAGAGGATGAACTGCTGAACAATTCAATCGTTTACAGTATGCAGGTCCGATTTTCAGTTTCTGAGATATTTTAATCCATATCGTTAAAAAAATTCGTTATCATTTGGTTTTCGACACTATGTATTTCCTTTTCTCCTCTCTAACACGGTGTCGCGTATATACACAGTTTTGAAAAATAGCTCATTACAAAGAGGATGAAATGATAACATTTCCCTCGCTAACAATATGCAGGTCCGCTTTTTAGTTTTTGAGATATTTTGATCCATATGAAAAAACACTTCAATTAATCGATTCCAGTCGACTTTATCCGAGCGTTGCACATCGGAGATATGACGGCTCAATTTAATTCCATCAAACAACTCCTGTTTGAGCACCTACTCCACATTCAAACTTCCCCTACCATGTAAAATTACTTGCATCTGTACACTGTTTAATTTCAATCTATTGCACAATTGAAATAATAATTAACAGTAAATTAGTTTGTATTTTTATTATTATGTCAGACTAAGACCCATAAATTTGTAACTCTGTTGTTATTCTCAGAGGAGAGTAGTCCCAGAATAAAATTATTTTTTCATTTCATTTCATATCCTGATAATTTTCCACACGCCTTACTATTAATCTTTGAATATTTATATTTATAATTATCGTATCTTATATTTGTTAAGGATATGTTTAGTGACATGGTTTCGTGGACGATAACCGGAGCGGATAAGAGAGAAGAGAAAGTATCGGTTTAGCGAGAACAGAACGAGGAGGCACACAATACACGGGGAAAGCCTACCCGATTCTTAATGAATTTCCATTGGCGGCTCGGGCTCACCACAACCCAGTCCCGAAGGGGAAGAGAAAGAGCCCGCGGGTCTAGACCAAAAAGGTTAAGTAATTAAATCGAGAACAACATCGATTGTTCCACGAGATGAAACATCCCGGGATAATACAACAGCGTGAGGTAGGCGATCGATACAAAGGCTGATGAAGAAGCAGATCTCGATTGACTTTTACTTCTTTTCTATTTGTTTATTAAATCGACAAACAGTGAACTAGAACCACAGCAGCCGCAAGGTTTGCCTGCGGTAACATTTCTAAATGATTAACTTCTTTTTTTATTTATTAAGGTTCAGAGAAATAGGACAAGAATAAATGGAAAATTAATAGAAAGGAACTACATCCAACAAAAGCCCTATTACTACTCCATACCGAGTAGAATCATATCTTCGAGAGAAGAATGTATTTATTTATTTTAACGTCCTTTGCAGCTGCGCAATTACAATGATAATGATAACACCCCACTTATCCCTGTTGAACAAATCCGATACCTAAGACTCTATCTGGACTCATTTAACGACAAGAAACTGCTCAACTTTTCCGCATACTTCAACACTAACTAGACAAACGCTCTAAGTTTCCAACTCAATACAAAAGATTCATACACATGGCTGTAATAAGGCCTAATAGGACTTACGGAGTTGAACTTTTGGGCTCCACTAAACCATCGAATTCCTCTCGTATCCATTTCTTACAATCCAAAATCCTTCGTAAAATCCTCAATGCTTCTTACATTGTTACACATAAAATAATCTATAAAGATCTCAATGCTCCATATGTTTCCGATTTGGCCTAATCTAGATACCTATCCCTATATAATTACCATCCGAATTCTCTCGTTTCTAACCTTAATTCCTTTTGGATCCCTGATAACAATCCGAGGCGTCTGAAAAAAAGATGACCTCGTGATTTCCTAATTTAGAAATCTTATCAAGAATGCTACCAATGGGTAGTTTCTCTACAAGTGTTTTCATGTCATTGTAATACTCTATATCACATTTACTGGATGTATATTTGTTTTTATGCAGTTTTAAATTTCATAAATAAAAAGTTTTGTCAATTCGTGTTATTTTGGTTTCATATATAAGTTCTAAATAAGTTTTTTGTCTAAAGAGTCCGAGGAAACGGTACATAGCTTTTGTTACTTTTTTTCGAGGTGTATGGACATAGTTTTTTTGTTAGACTCAAGATCGCTGTCGATGGTTTAAGGTGAACATAACAAAAATGAAAAAAAAAAATGTATTCAGACTATTTCATCAGCTATTTTTAATTTAGAGTTAGTTAGTTCTTACTATATTTGAAGATAATATCAGAGTTGTCATCGTAAGGGGATATGTTCAACCTTGATGTAAATGGCATATATGTCATCCTCGGATTTGAGCGGTGTAGCAACAAATGACACTCGCCTATAAATCTCCAACATAATTTGCATTGATAAACAAATGTAACATTTGTTTGTTATTGCAAATTATGTTGGAAATGAGCTGCATTTAAAATTAAATGCCCAATACTTTCAAGTTTTAAAGGTTATATATTTGTATGTATGTATGTATGTGTATGTGTATATATATGTATTTATATATATGAAGAAAGTGTAGAGTAAAGCGGCAATTTCACAGAAAAGAAATGACCAAACCATAACCATTTAAGTAGCCATTTAGACAATCAATGCCTATTGAGGTTAGTAGTACCGCAATTTTCCAGGTAAGATTTCCTAATGGCAGTAACAGTGTTCCTGGAGCCGAGGCGGGAAGGGAAAAGACCCGCCCAGGAGTACAAGGACATCATCCTTTGTTCCAGAAGACAAGAGAGTGGTGTCCTTGGTGTGGGCTTGACACATCGGCAGCAAGCTAATCATCACTCCTAGGAGGTACAATATGTTAGTTAGCTAAGGATGATATGGTAATAATAATGATCTTGTAAATTAATATGTAGTTAATTAACGAGCGTTCATTAAGTTATGGCGAATTGAATTATTAAATTCACTCCTCTAAATATTGCATGTCATGATTTTTTTAAAACCATCCATTGCATTTACCAAACCGATCCGATGTTTGGGGACGCGACGATAGAAACTTAATTTCAAGTCTCAAACCACCATTCTAATTTTTTACCAAACCTGACGAGCTTAATTTATAAAAATAATAGTATTGTGATGCTCACTCATTTACTTCAATACTTACAAATTGTGGTGCTATGTTTTCGACAATCTTAAGGATTTTCAATATATGACATAGAAAAAAAAATCAATTTATTATATTGTTTTCTGATAGAAATACAGTTTATAGATTTATAAGGACTTAGAAGCAAGCCATCGGCAAGTTTTGAGCAAACTCAAGTCAAATTTAGCAAGAAAAATCAGTAAATTTTCAAATAAGTGTAGACTTGTCTACCCATGCTGGATGATTTTTTATTTTTTTATTTAAAGAGAATTCGGAAATCTTTATAATTACTATTCGCAAAAAAATTTTTTCCTTTTCTTCATTAACTTTTTTACAGACTTTTCTGGGAGATGTACTTATTTTTCTCTCTGAAGGTAATTACCAAAATGTTGCCATAACCATTGAATTTGTCTAAGAATTAACTATTAATTAATTAACGATAATTAATTAACGTGCCGACAAAAACAGATGACTTTGAGAAATAATATAACATTATAACTTTAAAAACTAATTTAAACGTCACAAACATAATTTTATTGGACATTTTATCCACCCCCCAATATTGTAGTGTTATCCGAATGGATTCATGAAAAGTTAACTATATTGTTTGTTTTTTTATTTTTCAAATAGAAATATATTTTATTTCAAATATTATTTTTTTAAGTTAGCTTTTTCATTATTCAAGGACGAATGTTTTTTTATTTAAAATAATAAGAAGGAATTCTATTCAAAAGCATTTCAAAGTCACTTTTGCTAATTTATAAATAGGTTCTCTTCTGTCCAATACCGTCTAATTAATCAAACCTCAAAATCCAACAATTCCATTTTCAAATGTTTTATTTTTTTTTTATTAATAATTTGAGAATTAAACTACATGAGGCAAAATAACGTCTTTCGAAAACAGTTAATTACAGTTTTAAAATATAAAAATGAAATTCACTTATATTTAAAGTCAAGCTCTCAATTATGCTAGACTATTTTCATAAAAATAAGGCGGTTATGATATTTTATTTATAACTGAATTTAACCAATAAATGTATTTTTGTTTTAATAGATAAATTAGATGTCAATCTATCATCATATTGTAAAAAGTAAATGAGAAAAAAGTCGTGAGAAATGAGCCATTTATCGCTCAGACGCCTTTTGGCCAGGCACGAGTCAAAAAAAGAGCAAGAAAACTACACAGTTTATCTCGTCGGGTCCTTAATGACGGCAGGACGGGGTACTAAACCCCACAACGAGTTTCCTTCCAGTCATTACTGGAGTCTAATAAAAGAAGAAAAAAATTAAATGGCCCATTAGCATTTAAGTGAAATATTCTGAACTTGATCTTGATGGTTCGCAATTTATGGTTATCAGTTCAATTTCAGTTTTCGAACAATAAAATCTAATCAACATAATGAAAGTACCCATTTAAATTTATTTTCTTCAATCATAGGGTCATTAAAACTTTGATTGGAGAAATATTTACAGATGTTCTTTTTTTAATACATTATTTATTGAATAATATTACAGCCTGCATAGATCGAAGCCAGTGATAATAGAGAGGAAACAACACATTCATACCATATTTATAGAAAGTAAAAAGAAATTATAAATAGCAATATAACAGAAATAGGAAAAAAAAAAGATAAAATAAAGTATAGATAAAAAATTAACTTAAAAAGAGTTAAACATAATATTTACAATCAATCAGGCATACTCCGAATCAGGCTTTTCTATCCACCTATGGGGAGAAGCGGGATTGGAGGAGATCCCAGCACTTCTATCTCAACCTCGTCACTAGTGTTAAAAGCAAGTGGAGACTGAACGAAGAAGCTATATTTTAACGCGCACGGCTTGAGTGAAGAAACTTACCATTGTCGGAACTCTAACATACACATATTTACAGAAGCTTAAGGGGCCAATGCCGTTTTAACCTTCCGGGAGGATCGTATGAATGTTGAAGCCTATCAGGCTTCGTCATATATTGAGATGAGGTCTAGAACTAACCAGTTCTATTCCATAGGTCCAGATAGGTTTTCAAATCAGATCTTGCAGATTAGTAATTAGTTATCAACTGAAAATTGTGATTTTCAGTTTACTATATATAGTAGCCGGATATAAGCATAATGCCTATACTCCGGACAAACTCTTGTCTTTCAAGTTTCTGAATTCCATATTACTATTTTATCTAGAAGAAAGCCAAGATACCGGACTATGTCTGATAGGGGATGTGGTATAGATTTGAAATAAAATTGTCGACAGAATTTGTGTGGAAGGATGATGGTGATATATTTGCATTAGGATGCGCCAAATATTACACAGTGTTCAATAAGAGGGAGGTACCTTTGTAGATTCAAGGATGCTGTTTCAAGATCTTCGTTGAATGATAACTGGTGGTGTCATCGACGAATGTTGCCAGAAGGGAATGTGGAAGAACAGAACCGCGACAAAGTAAATGTCAAATGGAATCCTGGTCTCTGTTGAATAACAGTTGAAGAATTCTGTACCACACTGAGCTCGAAAGGAGCGGCCACAGATGTAGGATCGAAATAACAAGTGTTAGGACGGAGATAAATCAATTTTAATTTTAAGAGCAATCCGGTGTGCCATACTCAGACAAAAGGTTGCGTCATGTCATAAATGCATGCGAATTAAAAACTTTTGTTAAGAGCTTAATTTTACCAGAAAATATTTTTTATTCAAAGTAGTGTAGTAAGTGAAAATTGTGTGATGTGCGCATCATATTTTGAATGTTGCTTTGAGACATGCTATTCCTAGTTTAAATTCATCAGTTTTTTTTTAACAAATAGTTATTTATTCCTGAGTTTCAGGTCAACAGGTAGATAGGATGAGCCCATTGAGAAAAAAGACATTTCTGTTCCACGACATACAAAAAATACTAAAAGGCACTGGGCTCGAACGGCTTCCGGTCAACTGTGTCCTGCTTCCGCCAATTCAGATTTCCGTTGACTCAATATAATTGTTGTCATTCTCGTCAACCGAATGGTTCAGTATGAATGGGCCCTTCTGATTATGTTGGCAGTGAATTGTGAATCGGTATTGTAGTCTGTCGGAATCTCACTAAATGAATGTAATACAGGTCAATTTGATCGACAAAGCAGAGGTGCATGTAACTGGAAATCAATAGCCCAGAGACGGAGAAGACTGGTTCATGCGGCTAAAGATCTAAAAGTTCTAAAGACAGCAGCAAAAAAAAAGTCAATGGATAAGAATATATAAGGTTTAAAAAAATATTATTAGTAAGTTCATCCAAGAAGTTTACAAAATTTGTTTAAACTTTTACAACAAACAGTTAAAAAGTTTAACCTCTGATTTTAATGAAATGGGAGTAAAATAAAACAAAAAAACATAACCATATTTAAGAGAAATGTCATAAAAGGACACACATGATTGTGAACGAAGTCGAAGCAAAAATTAAAATTTCAAAAAAAAGAACAAGAGTTGTTCCCAATAATTTTCAACGAACGCTGAAAAAACGCCGAACGTAAGGATCATTATTTTCCTATATGGATTTTTGTTTTTTCAAGTTTATAAAACCTATTTATAAAAATATATTGTTAAACAATATACACATTAAATGAAAAAATATTTTTTTTTTTTTATTAACTTTATTTTATTTACCTCACACCTGTCAGAAGTTCCGACAACCAGCAAGTGTGATGTCGAAGTGTAGAAGATTAGAATAGCTCTAGGAATAGGCGTGAGAAAGAGGAGTGCCCAGCGGCGTCTTTCCTGTTGTGATATTTGTTTAAATTTAATATTTGTAGTTAGTGGAGGAGATCTCTCGTCCAGCTTCTTTTGAGCCTTCTACCGGTACTATCAGGCATTTTAGTTGTGGCCATGCCTCGAATCAGTAAGCTGGTATGTCCGTGTAAGTTATTGTGAAATCTTTTATAGTATGTTCGTATGTGGTCGTTAACTGTAGGCACCTTTATGGTCTTTATGTAAAGTAATGTTACTGACGTACCACGGAGCCTTAGTGATAGGCCTGAAAGTTTTTAATTGAAAAGTATCTGTGAAGCGTAGGTCCAAATGGGCTTAAGTAGGTAAGTATATGAGTTAAATTTCTGTCTGAGTTTTAATTTCGAATGTCTTGAAATCAGTGAGTATAATAGTTGGGAGTCTTAAGTTTAGAATTTGTGTTTTGTTCTTGATATGTGAACCCCATATATCATTCCAAAATATTTAAATACATAACAACTTTTAAATTTTTTTATATTTATATTTTTTCTTATGGTAACTTCCATGGAACCGATGTAGTCATAATTCCATACTCTTATAGAGTTCTTAACGTCTCATACTAAAAACTTGATTATTATTTTTATGTTTATTTAGTTTTGATTCTAGACTACAGAAAGCAGTAGTATAGGAATATGGGAGAGAAATATTGACAGTAAGGTTACTAGATAAGGAAATGTAACGATACTTTCTTGATAGAGATTAGTAATAAAAACAACGACGGGAAATCTGAGAAACAGAATATAATAAAGTAACAACGTACATATTTCAGATACAAAAAGACAATATGTTTTCTCCAAGAAGTTTTAACTTGATATTAATGAAATAGATTTGTTTCATTAATATAATCATTAATCATAAGCCGGTTTCGGAACTAATAACTATTTCTAATAGATATGTTAAATAAAAAATAATATTAATAAATAAATTGGATATAACTGTAACATCATTTGTTCTTTCATCCGCCATTGATGATAATAATAATACCAATAAAAGAATTAGCGAACCCAAAGGTTCGATGCCGATACCTTCGTTAAATTTATATAATTAGATATTTAGTTTAGCGTAAATTGGTTATATAATCAACTGAATTAAATTCTGAATGAAAACACAAGAATAGATCTTTTTCATGCTAGATTACAAAATAGATCAAAAAAGATCTTATTGGATTTTGCATTTTACATATACTACTCAAGATCGGTATAGATCTGTTGAAGATATAAATACAGGTATAAAAGAAGACAAGGGCCTGTCAGGTATGGGTCGCAAGAGTTAGCTACTGAGGTCATAAAAAAAATTCCCATAATTTCCAAACAGAAAATTACCTAATGTCTCATAGAAAGGTCGCGAGATAATTTGAAAATAGAGTTGAATCACTCAGCACATCACAATTTCAAGAGAAGAGCACACTGTCATATGCGAGTTCACCGTCGTTAAAAGGTCAATAAATATCTTACATTATGTTTTTAATTATTACTAAATATGTCAGATTTGTGTTTAAGAAGATATTTTTATTCATTTAATTTTTTTTCTTAAGAATCTGGACTGACTTTTCGGAATATCTTTCTCACTTTCAAAACCCGACTGTTTTAACCACACCTAGGCAATTCAGTTTCCGTCATGCTTTACACGCTTTTTTTTTCCTAACTCCAGTAATTTTAAAATGCATTAACTACGGATGATAACACTTTTTATTTTATTATTTTGGTCTTAAAGCCTACTTCCTACCCTACTAGCTAAAAGGGAATGGCCTTGGAATTTATTAATACTACAATTACTTAATCCTATTAAACGTTGAGGTGAATAAAATGGGCAAGTAAAATTGTAGGACTTAGTAACGAAATAATTCTTAAAAAGTTAATATGAGTTGTGCCGGCTGGTAATGGTCCGAGGAGTAGACCGAAGCGTAGTTAGGAGGATTGCGTCAAAGCTCATCAAGCGGGATTGGGTTTAGATAATCCCCGGTGGATGGAAGAATGCAGACAGCGATTGGTGGTATCGGCATCGAACCTTCGAGTTCGAGCCTTATTATTACTTAACACTAAAAAGATTACGTTGATATAAATAAGTTAACGTTTGTATGACAGCTTCAAAACTAAATAAATGCTTTCGAACAAACAAGCATTTATATCTAATAGTTTATATTTAAATTTATTCAATAAGATATTTTAAATAATACACTCAACACGTACACTATAGTGAGACGTACCTTGTCGCAGATCAAGGACAGATCCAGAACATAACTCACTCAGAAGAGATACAAACGGACAACCCCACTTACCATAGCATCGAGGAAAGGCATTGTTAAACAGTAAATCAGTTGATAAGGAAGGAATAGACATGAGAGACTTCCAAGACTAAAGTGGACGATATAAACAGCCTGACTCCACGTGGTGTCTATATCAGGAAACAGTTAATTCAAAGGATTTACAGAGCTCTAGGGTCAGGAAACATTAAGACTTTAGATACGATAGTAGAGTGTATGTCTTGTTGAGATGCAATGCTAACATATATGAACAGAATAAGTTGTTTTGTCAGCTTTTATTAGTTCTTAAATAGGACAAAACTAAATGAGCAAAGGATCTTTCTTCACACAAAAAATTAATAACAAATAATATAATTAACTCTAATGACATAACCCAATAATATAACTAACAAATCATAAAAAAATATGTACACCACACTAATAATAAATTCAAACCTTGGTATGTGACTAACAGAACCTTAAAGACTGCCACCTGCCTTCAACTGGCCATCACATAAGGACTCTTTAGAAAAAATTTCGTACTAATTTACACGGACAACCTGACATGCTAATAAGAGATATGGATTCAGCTGACATTCCCGTTAATACGTGGAGGAAACTAAAAAGGCGCTGGATTAGAGACCTACTTCCTTAACATAACAAGGTAATTGAATCAAGGAAGGGAAATGGTACTGCTGGGTGCTATCCTTCCCCACGTCAGACGCCAGTTTTATTACTTTCATCAAACCATCTGCTGATAGCCGAAAATTCTTCGACTGGATCAGATAAAGATTTGAAGATTAAAAAAAAAATATTGTGTAGGAACAGAATTCTCTGAGAAGTTTCCATATTTATTTATATTTTTGATTAATTTTGCCATATTCAACATATTATTACATTCGATCAAAAATATGAGCGAACTCAGTAAATGAGTGATTTTCAATTCTGGAATCTCAAACCAGATGCTAGTTGAAAGAGTTGAGCTGGCCTGGCATGGACCTCGATTACATCTAAGCTACTCCTTATCAAAAAGAGAACTCAGTTCCGAATTTCTTACGTACAACCACAATTGCAACCATAAGCCAGACCACAAATTGAAAGGCCCCTCAACGCTGTATAATCTTGCACCGCAAACATTCTCAGCCTTGTTTAGCAATCGAGGAATGTTAATGCCCTCCTAGATGTTGCACAATCTAATAATAATTATTAGTAGTGGTGATTTTAGGGTAGCCGAAAATTTTCTCTAGCACTGAGAGTGAAAGTAAGAAAAATAACACATAAAACAAAACAGTTAACCATATCTTAGGGTAATGAAAAAAGGGATTTACCTAGAAGTTATAAGAAAGTTTTGCTATTTTTGTAATTCATCGAGAAATACTGTTCTATAAATCCACGATTCTATGATTTTAAAAAATGGCATAGGCTCTTTTGCACGATTAAGTTTCTCGATCAGTCTTTTGGATGAACTCACTTTGGTCGAGAAATTTGTTAAAGGATTTCTTTAGAATAGATTTCCAACATGTCGAAAATGTCTTTTAAATCCCCGCTCTCCTCCGCTGGCCCGGGAAAGTCCCGTGTAGCCTTAAAGACAAGGAAGGAGAGTACCGAAAAAAAAAATTAAGTTGTTCAGAATAATATTGGGAGGTACAGGAATCGATTTGAGGAGTGAGGGGATCCGATAAGGATATCTTTTATCTTCTCAGCATTTAATGAGAGCTTATTAAAGTTTGCCCAAGCATCCAGGAGGTAACATTACGCCTACACTGAAGATGTGATAGATTCCAAAGACTTTTTATTTAGAATTAAATGATATCTAGGCTTAAATTGAATTCGGTGAAACAAAAGAAATATAATTACTTGAGACTTCGCCTATAATTTTGATTTTCATTACATAACTTTGTAACAGCTAAGATTTGTAAATTCCATAAGGAATTTAGTCTTAAATCTGGGAGCTAGCTGGGACTACGGGAAGCCCTGATTACTCCATTAAGACCCATTTGTGGCATCTGCCTTTTTTTTTGTCTACTGGTACCGGTCATTATAGAAAGGTTCTGATGGCTCATTTGTTACGGGTTATCTATGACTTATGGAAAGCATTAGTGTCGGTGTGGTATATGGGACTCATAATACTTAACTAGCACCAGTTTTAATCGACATCCTTAACCCTTCCTTGGTCTCTTAACGATCATTAAGTCGAGGACATTCCCCTAGAG